TCTCTATCACAAACTTTAACGGTGCTAGAGATTCCGTTAGTTAGGTTAACGACATGTTGACATGGATGCCTAATTGACGCACACGTTAGCGATAACTAAGTCTCACTTACCACGTAGATGTCACGTCATAATTTACTTAAAAATATTTTAGAAAAATATATTTTCATAGCCACAACTTTCACGTTTGTGACAATTATAGCCACAACTTTTGAAATACAATAAATAGGAAGAGTTTTTATAGTTTTTTGACAAACCTAGCCATTTCCTGTGACCCCACCAAGCTTTTGAGGCCTTCTTCTCCAATCTAGCGATTGGGGATCTGAATCAGCAAGAAAAATAAGGCCTCATTCTCCAGTCATACTGTTAAGTGACTCCATTAAAGGGCTGGATGGAAGTCGTTATTTTGTGTATTTCAAAAGTTGTGGCTATTACTGTCACAAACGTGAAAGTTGTGGCTATGAAAGTGTATTTTGTTTTTTTTTTTTGTTAATCCACGTGGATCGCCAACTCAGCACTTTCGTCAGTCCAGTCAAACTATTAAGTGACAACGTTAAAGAGATGGACATAAGTGATTGTTTTGTGTATTTCAAAAGTTGTGGCTATAACTGTCACAAACGTGAAAGTTGAGGCCATGAAAGTGTATTTTGCCTATTTTAAAAAGCAATTATTTATCATATATTGTTTCGATACTGTGGAATAACATAAAATTCACAAGTTAAATTTTATTAACTAAATAATTTGATGCCACAAAGTATAACATGAGATTAGTTAATGTTGAACTCTTAACAATTATTTTTTTTATCTTGACATTAATCACATGTATCATGTATGACATACAAAATAAATATATCAAATACGTGTCAAAATTTTATTAAACAAATTAGGCCTGACTCGACTCGGCTCAAGCTGGGGTAAAACTCGACTCGGCTTATTTGCAGCCTTGCACGCCATGCTCAGCCGAACAAAGACAAAAACTATTTAGATTTTAGAGTATCTCAATTGCAAAACCAATTGTACAAAAGGTTTCAATTGCCACCTCATTAATTTTTAATTCAATTCATATTAATATCATCTCACCTACATCGATGTAATCCACATGCAATTGTAGATATAATTAAATATTCAAATAAAGAAAAAGAAAAAAGAAAATAAAGAATTTCACTTTTTCATGCCATTTTTTCTGGACTTTTTTCAGAAATAGCATCGTTAAAAAAATCCAAAAATAGCACCCTTTCTCGAAAACCGCAGGGTGGGAGCGCGGTTTTTGACAAAAAGTGCACGGGTAGGGGCGGTTTTGCTAACCGCATGGGGCCGGAGCGGTTTGGGTGCAAACCGCACCCCTATCATGAGGTTTGTCAATAAATGTTTTTTTTTCAAATAATTACCATAAGTGGTCTTGGCCTAACTCGTTTAGTTGTTTCACTATGTGCAAGAAGTCCTTAGTTTGAGACACCATCATCCCATATTAAATCTTTTTATTTAGTAGAGATTAAAAAAACATCCCATATTAAATCTTTTTATTTAGTAGAGATTAAAAAAACATGTTGAGGTGGTGGTTTGAACCTTGATAATATATAGTTAACTAAATTTAGCACAACATCTACACCACCAAACTGCAACTCTTTTGTTAAAACAATTACATATTGACAAAGTTTTAGTCCTTGAACGCTAAAAATCCTCAATAAATTTTGAACAACCATAATTTCGCCTAACTTTTGAAGGACTGCAAATTTTACTGGGAAGAAATTTTCAAAACAGGAATTATTATTTGGATATACAGGATTTTGGGAATAACTTTACCTTCCCTTTTCACAAATCCACGTACATTCCGAAATTATGTCTATGATAAAAGTTATAGTCCTTAAAAAGTTATGCGAAATGAAAAAAAAAATCATGGCGTTAGGATTTTGGAGCACAAAGTTATGACCGTCCAAAGTTTGACGAAATCGAAAAAAAGCTCGTTCGAGGTAGCAAACGATATTTTTTTGGGACGAAGGAGGGACCAAATCGCCTTCGGCTGTTTGCGACTTGCAAGATCTCGAAAAGTTATGCGAAATAAAAAAATATTGTTACGATCGGATACCCGAACACAAAGATACGTTTTTTTTTTAAATTTCCACCTAGGTTAAGATTTTTCGAAAAAACAAAATTGGACCAAACCGCAGAGTTGGGCAGCGGTTTTGGACCAAACCGCCTTACTCCGAGCGGTTTTCAAAACCGACCCGTACCATGCAATTTTCATCAAAAAAACTAATTTGTTTCAAACTTACAAATATGCAATGGGGAGTCACATCAATGCAATTAGTTTTGAAATTATAAAACCTATATCATGCCATTTTGCAATTGGAAATGTAATACCAATGTGTATGCATAATAATAATAATGCAACGCTACCTTACTACTCTCAGTCAACAAGCGAAAAAGTGAAAGTTAAAAAAAAAAACACCAAGGCTGCTTATTTTATGCCAATATTGGTTTAATGTGACAGGAATTTGAACCTGCCTCACAAGGAGGAATTTTACAATGCTATATTGGTGTTATAGGTTTTTGTCTTTATGGTACAACTTGAAATTGTACCTTTAATGTTATGGTACAACTTCAGATTGTACCTATACTTTTTGTACAAATTCTTTTATGGTACAACTTAAACTTGTACTTTATGTGATGGAACAACTTCAAGTTGTAAAGTTGTACCATAACATAATGCTACAAATTTCTTTATGGTACAACCTAAAGTTATACATTTAATGTTATGGTACAACTTCAAGTTGTACATTAAAGCACCAATGCTATATAGTATAGTAGAAGTGCTCGCCTCACAAGCTATTATTCGACTTGATTCACAATGGAGTCTGTAATATCTTATTTGCAGTAACGTGAGACATGGCATGAATACTACTCGTCATGTTTCTTTTTGATTCGCTTCGTTCTGCTTTGATTGTCTCAATATCAATTTTACTAGCGTGGCCCGGCCATTTGGCAGGAGGAAGGTGATGTATGAAATTTGGTAATGTAATGAGGTGTATAGGTTATTGTTGTATAGTGTTTTTTGGGAAACACGTGATAAAAATAGTGAATTTTAGTAGGAAAGAAACATAAATGATGCTACGAGATCAAAAATCATCCTTATGAACCAAAATCAAGTACCTGTTACCTTGTGAAACAATATTGTTTCTGATAATATGATGAGGTGGAGTAAGTTTTATACAAACCGAATTCCAGAAAATCGAATAAAAAATCACATATCCCGCCGATTTTCGGGAAATGAGCATCTCACAATCGTTGCAAGCTTTTACTCGGCCCGTTGGCCGATTAATTTGCTTTATAAAACTTTCATCTTGTCATCATTGTTCTTTCTAGTTTTTTGCCAAGCCATGATAAAATCTAAAGAAATCAAGGGTGAACAACACGATTTGGGATAGGAGCCACCGTTCCTGTATCCCTAGAAAATGGTGGTAAACACGGACTCACCTGCCAAACTGGTTTAGATTGAGATTTTTATCGGGTATCAGGAAACCATGTGGTTATAAATTAGACTTGATCAAAACGGGCCAAAACTTGAAATTCAGCTTGTTTGGCCGACCCATGGCAAACTCTAATTATTCTTTACTTTTAAACTTTCTATTTGAAAATAAAAAATAATGAAAGAAAAGAGATGACTGCAATTCGCCATTTGCACATCACTGATTCGGGAATAAAACTATAGAATTTTGAAAGGAAACTGAAAATGTTTAGGATCGTTTTTATGTTAAAAATAACAAAATAGATCTCTCTGTTTAGTTTTTTTACTAACAAATACCAAACGATTCCCTATAATATACACTATAATTTAATCATTATGATATCAAATAATTACATAATATATATTTGAAATGATAAAAATTGGACTAATTGTGTTGGTCGAGGTTGAATCATTGAATAACTTTACAATACATTATATTTTAGCCACTAAGATATAAAATAATAGCATAATATATATTATGCTAGAGAAAATAGCTTGTTTTAGATTGGCAAACCCATGATGTTCATTTGTTTTACTTGATGGGCAAATGTCGTGTTTATGATTAGCGGTTAGCCCATTAGAATCCATGCATTAGTTTATTGTTAATTTTTTTTCCTTTTAGCATTAAAAAGGAGTATTGTTTTTGCCTTTTCATATATATTTTACCACCACAGAGAAATAAAACGACTTAAAGAAAAAAATTGACACTCCTAGACCCGTTTAAATCTGCATGTGTACGGTAAGTTGGCCAGTTCCACAGAGAAAAAAGAAGTAAAAATTGACACTCCCTATTCTACCCTTCCTACAAACGCTCCTGGAGCTGGGAATTTGAAATGGGGGAAGGGTTTTTTCCTCTCTGCGATTATATGTTTTTAATTTAAAAAGATATAACAAATGTACTTAATGTGATTGGTTATGATCTTTGTTTTTCTTTAAAGTGGTCATGGTTCGAATCCTAGTAAGTCTTTTTTTAATAAATAAAAAAAGACCAAAATGTCTTTCCTACTTTCACTCTGGATGCAGAAAATTTGAAATGGAGATTCAAGGTTCCTTATTTGACTTTTATTTATTGTGGAAATGTTGATTTGTTCTATTTTGACTTATTTATCTCATAATAGTACTTTGAATAATTGTAAGATTCTTTCAACGAACTAAAATTCCTTCCCGGTTTGTTAAAAGAAAACCAAACCATTTTATCTAAATGATTAGCGTAATGAGAGTTCGGATCTCTACCAGGAGCTGCAGCGCATACAAAAATTTACAGTTATGAGCAGCCTCGGTGGATTGTGAGAAGACAGTAAATTATGGCTTTGATAACTCTACATAACCAAATCAGAAGTCAAATTTAAGAGAAAGACTCCAACACACAACTAATTAGTCATCGTTAAAAACTAATCGTCTCTTACTATCAGACAAAGAGGTCACAAGACGTTGCTTAACCCAAAACTACCCGAAAATTGTGGCCTCCAATATCAAGTATCAATCCCCTCGATGCCAATGCAACCTCTATTTTTTAATCCACACTAGTCAAAATCTAGAACCTAGAGACAGAATTTCTCAAAGTACGATTAGTCCACTCCCACACCTCGCCGACGCCATTGATATTGAAGAAGAGAAAACCATTATAGAAAAGTGTAAGCTCAAGAAAGAACCCTACCAACTCGAAGTCCCCATCACAAAAAACCTCATCAGAAATTCAGAACCATCCAATCCTCGTAACAACAAACAGAACAAAAACCCACCCAATATATAAATCAAATAATCGGCCACCAATTTTCTATATATTAAAGTAACAAAACTCCACAGTGCTCAACACATCAAAATTATTTTTGTACACACAACTGTAATAACTTCCGATTCACCTCTCCGCTCAACCCTCCGGTACCGGCTCCGATCAGGCGGCAAAGCTATGGCCTTATCACTTCAGTTTCCGGCCAAATTCACGGACCCACCCCATAAATGAATTTCACCCAACCCGACCCACTAGTCCCATGAATTGACAAAATTAACCTCACCTTCCTCCTACAATTTACCACTTGTAACCCCACTCCCTCTGCTCCTCAAACCTCCTCAACACCCCATCAACGGCGACGTCGAAGGCGTCCTTAATCGTCTCCAACCCATCGCTGTTCCTCGCGTACACGAGCTTCGGGATGTACTCGATCACCTTCTCCCGCATCTTCCTCACCTCCTCCCTGCTGTAACCGTCGAGAACCTTCCTGATCGAGGTCCCGTTCTTGACGTCGTCGCGGTGGATGAAAACAGAGTAGCTCTTCGGGTCGCCGGGGAGGAACCACTCGTACTGGTAGTACGCGGTCCGCCGCCAGAACACGACCGGGATTGCGCCGGCGATCATGCAGTCGAAGATGGACCGGCGCGTGAAGCTGTCCCCGCGCGGCTGGAGGCAGAACTCGGAGTCCAGAAACGTTTCGAGGATCGCCGAGGTCCCGTTGCCGCAGCGGGACCCCGCGCACTCGACGAGCCGGCACGCGTCCGGCTCGTCGCGGCAGTGGCGGAGGAGGATGCCGCGGAAGTCGTTCTTGAACGAGCGGCGCGTGGCGCCGGCGAAGGAGAAGCGCGTGGGTCGGTTCCGCTCCCGGACGAACCGCTGCCACCGGATGACGTCGGCGTCGGACCGCGGGTGGAATCCCGTCGGGTAAGGGACGCCGACGTCGAAGTAGTCCCAGGGGTTCCGCTCGATGAGGAGGCGCGTGATGTTCCTCATCCCCGGCAGGTAGATGCAGCTCGATCCCCAGTCTTGGTCGCTGGAGCGGCGGAAGTCCCACGTGATCCGCCCCATTGTGATGAAGTGATCCCAGCCGTTGGATCTTTGAAACTGCGGCTGGGATTGTACCCAGCTCAGCATCGCCTCGCAGTGCCGATCCCTGTCCTTGGCGCTGAAATTTTGCCACAGGAACCTCCCCACTGCAAGGCCGGCGTAGAATGGGATGTAAAACGCCGTCGCATTGCTCGGCTCGGTGGTCCGGCACTTGTGCTTCATCATCCTGTTGTGGAAAACAATCTCCGACACGAATTGATCGGTCCAGAACCACGCCGGGACCAAATCCTCCGGTACAACTCCAGACACTCCCGCGGCTTGCTGCCCGAATCCATCGTTCGCCAGCGTGTCGCACCTCGAGCTCCACGGGTTCAATTTCTCGCAATTCTCGATCAATTCGGTGTTCAAGCTGCTCGGGAGATCGTAGACATAGACGTACCCGTTCCCGCAGCGGTTCTCGTCGACCGCCACCACGGCGGCGGCGGCTGAGTCGGACCTTGATGTTGCAATGACGACTGGCTCGGAGACGGCGGCGGCGGGATGGGGAGAAGCAGGGAGGCGGCGGTGGAAGACGTGGAAGTGGAAGGGGACGGAGCGGAGAGTGAGGAGGAGGAGAATTTGGATGAATAAGAGCAAGAGGAGAATCCAGGAACGGGGCTGGGATAAGTAGGCATGGGAGAGGAGCGAGGTGAGCGAGCTGAAGGAATTCTTCCTCCGGATGAAATCGCCGGGGGCGAATTTCGGCTTTTTAATCTTGGCGGTGGAATCAGGCGGCGGAGAATTGGTTAGTGGAAGCATCGGAGTGTGATTAGTGAATTCGACTTTCGGCTCTGTTTCACCGGCGGCGAATTTGGCCGGGTGGACTCCTTTTCGGTGGGATTTGGGAAAGTGGAGGAAAAGGAAGGAAGAGGATATATGGGCGGAAAGCGATTAAAGCGGAGAGAAATTGCACCAGTTTCGGGGGAAATGGATTTTGTGAGTAGAGAAAGGAATGAGAAAGGAGAAAGGAACCTACTAGTGAGAGAGAGGAGATGATTGGTAGGAAATTGGGAAGGGGAAGGGGAAGGGGAAGGGCAAGGGAGAGCACGTGTATGGGCGAGATACCGGCACGTGGCTTTAGGGATGCAGGTGAATGACAGTTAAATAAGAATAATTGAAAATTTTGAACTGGAAAATTACGCACAGCTCAACTGAACTGATCCCCGTTGAGAGTTGAGTTTAAACGGAGCTGAACACCTTTCAATTCTGTCGCCTTTCGGAGACGTGTACAAATTAAAGTAACACCAGTGTGTTCTTACAGTGTGTAATATATTAATTTTCTTTTTTCCTATATTCGCTGCATGTACATATGGGGATACATAATGTTAGAGAGTAATCCTGGAAATGGTGGAGATTGATCAGATTGAATTGGACTGTCGTGGAAATTTCCGATTCTAATACTAAAATCTGTGTTGGTAATCAGTTTTATCTCTCATGAAAAATTCACATAACTCTTATTACATGACCGCCGGTGAAGTATCATGATTTTGCAGCAGTTGCAGTGGTACCAGAAAAAAAAAGTGTGATCTATTCACAGAGATTTTATATTTATCTCAATGGTAAATAGCGTGAAAATAATTGTTCGTGTTACTAGGTTATCATATTGCCCTGTAAGTTTTAATTTCATGTATGTCAAATGAACCGCCGCCTCCTTTTGTTTTACTTTAGATCGTCACAAAATAGACACAATATTGCTTGATGTCGTCATTTCAAATCACTATGTTCAAGTATCGTTCATTGGCGCTCGAAAATAGAAGCACATGTACTGGTAATCATGAGGGTCACTACTATTTTTAGTCATGACAATTTCTGTGAACAAATTAAGATTGGCGAGGATTACAACTTCCAAATACTGATAACCAAGATTGTCTATCCGGGTGAAGAATCCATATATATTTATGTAACTAGCGTGGTCCGACCATTTGGCCAGAGGAATTTGATGTATGAAATTTGATAATGTAATGGGTGTATAGTTTTTTGTTGAATAGTTTTTTTTGGGAAACATGTGATAAAAATAGTGAATTTTAGTAGGAAAGAGACGTGAATGATTCAACGAATCAAAAATCAGCCTTCCCGCCGGTTTTCAGGAAATGAGCATCTCACAAACGTTGCTAGCTGTTACTCGGCCCGTTGGCCGATTAATTTCCTTTATAAAATTTTCATCTTGTTATCATTGTGCTTTCTGGTTTTTTTGCCAAGCCATGATAAAATCTAAAGAAATTAAGAATGAACAACACGATTTGGGATAGGAACCACCGTTCCTATATCCCTAGGAAATGGTGGTAAACACGGACTCACCTGCCAAACTGGTTTGGATTGAGATTTTTATCGAGTATCAAGAAATCATGTGATTATAAATTAGACTTGATCTAAACAGGCCAAAACTTGAAATTCAGCCTGTTTGACTGACCCATGCCAAACTCTAATTATTCTTTACTTTTAAACTTTCTATTTGAAAACATAAAATAATGAAAGAAAAGAGATAACTGCAATTCGCCATTTGCACATCACTGATTCGGGAATAAAACTATAGAATTTTGAAAGGAAACTGAAAATGTTTAGGATCGTTTTAATGTTAAAAATAACCAAATAGATCTTTCTGTTTAGTTTTTTACTAACAAATACCGAACGATTCCCTATAATATAAACTATAATTTAATCATTATGATATCAAATAATTACATAATATATATTTGAAATGATAAAAATTGGACTAATTGGGTTGGTCGAGGTTGAACCATTGAATAATTTTAAAATACCTTATATTTTAGCCACTAAGATATACAATAATAGCATAATATATATTATGCTAGAGAAAATAGCTTGTTTTAGAATGGCAAACCCATGATGTTCATTTGTTTTACTTGATGGGCAAATCTCGTGTAGGTCAGGCTCATTTAACTCTTTTATTTTATGATTAGCGGTTAGCCTATTAGAATCCATGCATTAGTTTATTGTTAAATTTTTTTCTTTTTAGCAATAAAAAGGAGTATTTTTTTTGCCTTTTCATATATATTTTATAACCACGGAGAAATAAAAGGATTTAAAGAAAAAAATTGACACTCCTGGACCCGTTTAAATCCGCATGTGTACGGTAAGTTGGCCCGTTCCACAGAGGAAAAAGAAAAAAATTGACACTCCCTATTCTACCATTCCTTCAAACGCTCCTGGAGCAGAGAATTTGAAATGGGGGAAGAGTTTTTTTCTCTCTGCGATTATATGTTTTTAATTTAAAAAGATACAACAAATGTACTTAGTGTGATTGGTTATGATATTTGCTTTTTTTTAAGTGATCATGGTTCGAATCCTAGTAAGTGTCTTTTTTTAATGAATAAAAAAAAGTAATTGTGAAGACCAAAATGTCCTTCCTACTTTCACTCTGGATGCAGGAAATTTGAAATGGGGCTTCAAGTTTTCTCATTTGGCTTTTATTTATTGTGTAGATAAAAAGATATAACAAGTGTACTTAGTGTGATTGGTTGTAATCTTTGTTTTTCTTTAAAGTGGTCATGGTTCGAATCCTAGTAAGTGTCTTTTTAATGAATAAAAAAAAGTAATTGTGAAGACCAAAATGTCATTCCTACTTTCACTATGGATGCAGAAAATTTAAAATGGGCTTCAATTTTTCTCATTTGATTTTTATTTATTGGGTAGATAGATTTTATTAATATGCTATATTTCTATGCCTTTCCTCCCGTAAATAAAGTATATAGCTATTATATACAATTATCTTTTTGTTTGATTGCATAAATTATTCGTGGTCAATCTTAATCTTTACGCGCTTTAAATCTCTTGTTTACCCTGCGATAATGAGCATTGATTAGTACTGTTTCCCATAATGATGAGATACAATATGCTATTAAGTCAAACATACCATAAAATTCTACAAATTTTGGATCACCATAAATTCATAACCAAACTCGAATAAAAATAAATTCTTAGAAAAATTATCGAACGGAGACACGAAATCATAATTTTGTCGTGGTATATAATCTAAACGGTATAGTATATAATCTGATTTATGGTCTGTAATCCAATCTCTCGATCTGGATCATAGACCGTATATATGGTCTGGTCTGATCTATCCGATCCAAACCAAACCATTTCCCAACCCCAGTTGAGGAAATGAATCATAAAGGAACATTCAAGCTAGGTTCTAGCTAGATTGACTGAAGCGGTGCCGGTGAGGAATTGATAAGAAATTCAGAATGATGATGTGAGCTAGCTAGCTTGCATGCTTAGCTACGACGTCGGTGTTACGTTGTCCGGCGGTATCTGCAACCAGCTGGTGACAGTACGTAGTAGTGTTCTCTAGATTGGAAACACGGTGGGAATCAAGGGTGGACGACAAGTCGTCGAATGATGATGAATGGTAATTCGCGGCGTTTAGCGCCACCGAAAACCGACTCTCGAAACAGGAAGGGGTTCGAGTGGGGACACACTTGGCGGCCCAACAAATGGCTGCTGCCAAACGCAGCGTTTACTGCAACGGGTCCATATTTTTATTGTTCTGTGGGAGAAATGGGGCCGGCGGCGTTCCCCGTGGTATAGCCTGACCGGCGAGCAGATTGGGTTCATAAAAGCTGCCTGCCTTTTTTGTATTCACAGGCTCACTGCCCACATGTGTACCTGTTGCTGTCTAATTGCTCACTTTGCCCCCATTGTTGTTGTTATACACTCTGCTTGGTTGCTGTGTAAATTGTTCATATTTTCGTTCAGTGTTGTCTATCTGAACTAGATCGTACTGGACTAAATAACACAAGTGTAGTCTGGTTTGAACCGTCTAATCTATGGTTTGGTTTGTGGTCTATATTCAGTAGTTTTTCGGTCTAGACTGTAGACTGTATATATAGTGGCGGAGGCAGGCACTTTGAGCCTTGTCCCGGGACAGGGGTAAATTTCTATGGAACAAAAATACGCCATATATATTTATATTGGTGATGGAACACAACACCTATAGGTAGTATTAGAGTACTTTGTCACTACAACATAACTCATTACTTGTCCAAAATTAACATAAAATTAATTTATTATACTATATACGAAATTCCAATTGCAATAAGAACCTAATCGGATCTCTTTTCTCCTTAAATTGTCTAGCGACAACGACAATCCCACAAGTTTTGATCTACCAATTACAACTGAAGTGTAAAAAGAGCATTTTCAACTTTGAGTTATATTAAGAACAAGTTTCCTAGTCGATTTGGCGACCTGTTTGCTAATACTTATTTAGTAAGATACATTGAAAGAGACTTATATAATAGTGTAGACAACGAATGTTTTTGCGTTTCTTTCACTATATGAAATTCCTTCGTAGTTGTTTCTGAAAAGTATGATTGTATAATCGGTTATTTTTAATTTATGAATGAATTATTCGGATATAATTATTTTTTATTAAATAATTCTTTTATTAGATGCTTATATATTTAAGTTATGAAAAAGGATAGGGGTGGTTTGAAATGCTGCTCCGCCACTGTGTATATATGTTCTCATCTTGACTAAAACCACACCATTTCCCAACGCTACTACTCCGCCACTGCAATCACACATACTTCTTCCATAAGCAACTCAACATAATTAACTTAGGTTGGATAGGAAGCTAGGTTTAGCTCTTTAAACTTTTATATTTCATATTTTACCGTATATATATATATATTTTAGGGTAAAATAGCTCGGGTGCCACATAAGTTTGAGAATTGGGATAGACATATCACTTAAGTTTGAATAGGGCATCGGGTAGACGGGTACCACTAAACTCTATTATATGTGCACCCGATACCACTTAAGTTTACTGTTAAGTGCATTCTCGTTAAAGATGACAGAATATTCTTGGAATATTCCGTTTTCTAAATTTCATAATTGGTCCTTCTACTTTCCTTATTGTAAAAAAATCACTTGGAATTATGAATTTTTTATTTTTTTTTATTTTTTAGTTAGAATCCTCTTTTGAATACTTGATACCAAACCAATTTTTGAATTGAGATTTTAGAATCAATTATCATTATAATTATTTTCAATTATCATTATGTGTTCTAATAATTGAATTATTCCATTAATGTTGTAACTAAATAATGTTATTGCTTTTATAGTCATATTTTATTTTCTACATTTTTTACCGAATGTTGTAGCTTTTATATTTTGTTTATTACTTGGTTACTTTTCATCTCTTTTCGTTCTAAACTTTTTCAATTAGTGAAATATGTTTAATTCTTTCTGATTGTGTTCCATTTATCCTTTTTTATTTTGATGTATTGATGATCGATTAAGTTCTATTTTAACTATTTTATTTCGGTGAAACTATTTTAACTATTTATAATGATGCTTCTAATTAAATTAGAGTGCTTAAATATATATTCTAGTATTTATTTTAAATATTTATTATTATAATCTAGTATATTTATTATTCTTCTTGATTTTCTTTTACTATTTTATATATTTTATTGAAAATTTTTTATTAGTCATTCTAGTAATAATATTTTTCGAATGATTTCTAATTATTATATTAGATACTACTTGTTGAAATATTGGATGTTTTTAAAAGTTTTGGATATCAAAAAGTAATGAAAAGTTTGGGTTGGATGAAAAAGTAGACGGATGCAAATTTTGACAACTTTAATGGTAACTGACGTCCTATTCAAACTTAAGTGATATGTCTACCCTAATTCTCAATCTTAAGTGGCACCCGAGGTATTTTACCCTATATTTTGGTTATAAAAAGGGGTTTATGCCACATTTGGTCACTGAGATTACTAAATCGTGTCATGTTTAGTCACTAGAAAATTTAATATCAATTTTGGTCACTTGAATTATTGAAACAAGTCACATTTAGTCACCCTGTCGTTAGTTTCTAATGGCAGAGTGACTAAATGTGACATGTTTCAGTTTTTCGAGTGACTAAATGTGACATGTTTCAGTAATGCCAAATTTAACTATTTATTAAATTTTTCTAGTGACTAAACATAACGCGATTTAGTAATATCAGTGACCAAATGTGGCATTTATTAAAACAAAGTGATGACGTTTTTCATTTCCTTTCAGATATTAATCAAATCTTTTTTGGCATTATAGGGGAAGAGTACTTGACGATTCGACAATTGCATCATTGGCGATAAAAGGATAACGACGCTCTATAGAAAATGTCCGAACCGATGACGACACCGGCGCTTCTCCCCTCCGATCGGCCGCCGGACACTTCCCTGGCCACATCGCCAGCGGCCGCGTCGGACATGATCGTTGACGCGTCGTCTCCAACTCTGATAACCAATGAGCCGAACCAAGATCTGGCTGGTGCGAAGACAGGAATATCGCAGCAACTTTTTACCTACGCCAAGGCGCTCTCTGGCCCGACGAGCTTGCCGCTGACCTCGAATCGAGCAACAACCTGGACTCCCGTCGGAGAGCATGACCTGATCCCCGGGCAGAAGGATGGTGAGCCAGCGCTGACCATATCCCCGGATTTCAAGAGCAAGATCTGTGCTCCATGGCAGCGTACCTTGGTGGTACGCCTGCTCGGGGCTAAGATTGGCTTCACCACTCTCTGTTCTAGGCTACGGGCACTATGGAGACCGGCTGGTGCGCTGGAGATTAGAGATATAGATTATGATTGCTTCTTGGTTAAACTGGATAATGAGCAAGATTATTTTAGGGCCTTGACAGATGGACCATGGTTGATCTTCGATCACTACCTGGTAGTGCAGCAATGGTCACCCAGCTTCAAGGTCTCCGATCCGCTTCCAAAAACGATGATTGTGTGGGCACAGCTACCGGCCCTGAAGATCCACTTCTATCATAGGGAGGTGCTCACCACACTGGGGAATCTGATCGGTAGAACAATCAAGTTAGACTACCATACTCTCACCCAACAGCGAGCAAAATTCGCCCGAATAGCAGTGGAGGTGGATCTTTCGAAACATCTGGTTCCTCGAATATGGCTGGATGATGGTTGGCAAAAAGTGGAATATGAAAATCTCCCGGAAGTGTGCTTCGAATGTGGCAAGATTGGTCACTCCGCCGACAGTTGCCCTCTTCTCCGACTCCCACAGGTGACTGGAACGACCACCATCTCCGGGGGTGGCGCCGGGGAAGCTTTGACGGCGGAGTCGCCGGAAGAGAATCCTGGCTTTGGGCCGTGGATGTTGGTCAGCCGGAAATCTAGGCGTCACCCGAGGGATCTTCAAAGAAAAGGAAATTCGGATCTGGATTCGATGCGCTCATCCCAGGGAAACTCCGCGCGGAATGGGAAAGTTGATGCGGCTAATGGGGAAAAGGAACGAGCAAAACAGAATGGGGAGAAGGTGCATGATGTCTCTGCTCAACGGGTGGCTAGCCAGGAAAGGAAAGAAACTAACGGGAAGAAAAGTAATGAAGGCACAAGAAAAGGAAAGGAGAAGGCTGTGGTGGAAAGTGGATCGGGTAAAGGGTTGCTGGGAGCTGGGCCGGGCCGCAAGCAGGGGACTCCAAGTGGGCCCCACAGAGTGGAAGAGGCTAACAAGGCCTCGACTTCGGGCCCAAAGCCCAGTGAGGGAGCCCAGCCAACCAAATCTGCTGGTCCTTCTAACCCAGTCCCAGCCCTTTTGAATCCCACGCTACCCTGGCCCGCCCCCCTGGCGGTTCACTCCACGATTGGGCCCAATGGAACTGTCTTGCAAATCGTGGAGGTCACCGACTCAGCTACTCCAAGTTTCACCAGTGCGGGAGATGAGGCTCCTCCAGTGACTGCTCGAGCAAGGAAAAGTAAAAAAAACCAAGGAACGGGCACGGAAGGGATCGCCGGCCAAGTTTAATCCTATCAAGAGCATCCAGCGTTGGTCGCCTATGAAGGAGAGGAAAGCAAAGCCCAAGGCTCGCTTAGCGTCGCTCACGCTCCAGGAGATTAGCGCGTGGACGAGCGGCAATCAGAAGCTCCCGAGGAATCCCCAGGCTGAGCAGCAGCAGGAACAGGGACTTGCGGCGGCAGACACTCAAAAGGCGGCAGTGCCGCTGGGAGGAGGGACACCTTCCCAACAATGATTTTCGACCCCTCCCCCTTTGCCTTCTTTCTCGTTCCTTTTCCCTCTGTTGTTTCGTTTTTCTCTTTCTATTATGATGATTAGTACCAGCATTAAAATTTTTTCTTGGAATGTAGGTGGAGCGGGGAGCAGATCTTTCATCCGAGCTCTCAAGCTTGCAATCCAGCAATACCGGCCCGATTTCGTTATTCTCCTTGAGCCCCAGATCAGTGGGGATTCGGCGAACACCGTTTGTGACAAAATGGGATTTCCGAACTCGATTAGAGTGGAAGCACAAGGGCGTCAAGGTGGCATCTGGGTCTTCTGGGATGGCAGACGTTTCTCTACTGAGATTATTTCAGCGTGCTCTCAACATCTTTCACTTTGTATCACAGAGGGCAGGGCCGCTCCATGGATTTTAACGGCTATCTATGCTTCTCCGTGCCTCCAGCGCCAACACACTCTGTGGGAGAATCTCATCGACCAGAGCTCCAGGATCGACTTACCATGGCTTCTCACGGGGGACTTTAACGCCATTCGCAGTTTTGAAGAGAAGTCAGGCCCCCCGGCTAGAGACACGGCTCGGAGATGCCGCATTTTCAATGAGAGGATCAATAAGGCAGAGTTGGTTGATTTGGGGTTCTCAGGCTCGCGTTTCACCTGGAGTAGAGGCGACAATCCCCACACCCATCGGGCTAGCCGCCTAGATAGAAGCCTGTGTAATCTCCGCTGGAACTCTGCTTTCCCAAACACCTCGGTGTTGCACTTGCCCAGACTCCAATCAGACCATAACCCGATTATGACGTCTATAATCCGGCAAGGAGGCCAACCACCCATCGCTAAAGCCTTCAAGTTTGAAGCTGCTTGGTTCACCAATTCTAATCTGCACGAGTTCGTGACGGCGGAGTGGAATTCCCAAGCTCCCCTTGATGAGGCGCTGCGAAACTTAGCTGGGAAGCTTCAAGAGTGGAACTTCCAGGTCTTTGGGAATATTCAGCAGAGGAAGAAAAGGCTTCTAGCACGACTGAAGGGAGTTGAGATAAGATTGGCGAATGATTTCAACCCTGGCCTCGCCAAGCTTCATCTCAAACTCGAGGATGAGTTAGATAAGGTGCTGGAGCAAGATGAGATCCTTTGGTTCCAACGGGCTCGGGAAAACTGGGTGAAGTATGGAGAAAGGAATACAACTTATTTTCACCAACAAGCCTGTATCAGAAGGAGGAACAAAATCGAGGCTTTGCTAGACTTGAATGATAATTGGGTGACTGATCCTCATTCCCTAGCTTGTCTTGTTTTTTATTTTTACTCTAACCTCTACTTGCAGGATGACTCGTTGTATGAAGATAGACTGCCGAGGGAGTGCTTTCCACGTCTCAACCAGTCCGACCTCCTATCCCTCCTTCGGCCTTTCACCATTACAGATGTGCATCAAGCGATTTTTGACATGAAACCGTATCAGGCTCCCGGACCTGACGGACATCAAGCTATTTTCTATCAACGCCTGTGGCCGACGGTGGGGAGGGCTTTGGCTGATATGGTGGTGAACTTCTTCTCTACTGGGTCGCTGCCCGAGGCGGTTACTGATTCCACGGTAGTGCTCATCCCTAAGGTGGAGAATCCTGAAAGAGTGAACCAGCTTCGACCAATATCGCTTAATAATGTTTGTCTTAAGGCCATCACGAAGGCTTTAACAAGCAGGCTTAAGCCTCTTATGAGGGAGCTGGTTTCGCCGCGTCAGAGCAGTTTCATTCCTGGCAGACAGACTACAGACAATATCATTGTGGCCCAGGAAGTGCTACACTCTTTTAAGAGGAAAAGAGGAAGGAAAGGAGGGCTTATTCTAAAAATCGACTTGGAGAAGGCCTATGATATGCTGAGGTGGGATTTTTTGAGGGATACGCTTAAGGAAGTTGGGCTCCCTAGTGGATGGGTCAGCAGTATCATGCATTGTGTGGAGCAGAACCGGATGAGGATCCTGTGGAATGGGGAGCTCTCTCCAGTCATTACTCCGTCTCGTGGAGTCCGTCAGGGAGATCCTCTTTCCCCTTATCTTTTTGTGTTGTGTATGGAGCGTTTATCCCACTTGATTGACCAGGAGGTGAATGAAGGGCGGTGGAAAGCTATCAGATTAACGGCGAATGGGCCAGCTCTAACTCATCTTTTTTTTGCAGATGATCTGCTGCTCTTTGCGGAAGCAGAGTCGAAGTAGATCCGGGTCATCAAGAATTGCTTGGAGGATTTCTGCCTCAGTTCTGGGCAGAGGGTGAACTACAACAAGTCAATCCTCTATGTGTCCCCAAACATTAGTCGGAGTAGAGCAGAGGGTCTTAGCAGGAGAGCTGGGATTCCACTGAAAGCAAACCTTGGGCGTTATTTGGGGATCCATGCGATCCAAGAGAGAGTTACTAAAGGGCGGTACCAGCCACTCCTTCTCCAGATTCAAAAGAAGATGGCTCCTTGGAAGGCTAAGCGGTTATCTTTTGCGGCCCGTCTCACAGTTGCTCAATCTGTGATAGCTTCTCTTCCGGTTTATACTATGCATACTGAGCTCATTCCGAAAGGTGTTTGACGTAGTATTGACAGGTTAAGTAGGGACATCGTTTGGGGACACGAAGAGGATAGGGGCAAGATGCACCTTGTTGCCTGGGACAAGATGACTCGGCCAAAGCTGCAGGGAGGTGTGGGGCTCCGGGACACTAGGCAAGCTAACATTGCCCTTCTTGCCAAGAGTGGATGGCGCCTAATTAAAGACAAGGACAGCCTCTGGACTCGGCTGATGCAATCAAAGTACGGGCGTCAGCATAGCCACCTGGACATTCTCCGGCCTATTAAGGGAAGTTCCTTTGCCTGGAGCAGTTTCGCGAAATCTGCCCCCCTCCTTAGGAGGGGTTGCGCTTGGAATGTTAAGAATGGGCGTCTCATTAATTTTTGGAATGATTTGTGGGCTTTGCAGGTACCTCTTAAGGAAGTTGCTTAGGACAGCATCCCGGTGGATCAAGAGGGAGCAGCGGTTGCTGATTTTGTGGATGAGGAGGGTAGATGGCGAACCGAGCTCTTTGCTCACCTGCTCCCAGCAGACACTACCCATGCTATTCTTAGCATCGCAGTGGATAATCTTTCGCAAGAGGAAGATACCTTGTTTTGGGCACCAGCAGCGGATGGGAAGTTTAGCGCTAAATCGGCCTTCTCTATGCTTCACCAACTGCCTCCTAATCCGGATGAGAAGGTTTGGAAGGCTATCTGGAAGCTGCCTGTGCCGGAAAGGGTTAGAAGCTTCATGTGGCTTACTTTCTCAGGCAAAATTGATACTAGGAAGCTTTTGTTTGAGAGGAAGGTGGTGGACGAGCAGTTCTGTACGCGGTGCCCGGGTCAGCAAGAGTCCGTCCTTCACTGCCTTCGAGATTGTCCCCCGGCCATGTTTGTTTGGTCAAGGCATGTCCCTCCTCAACAGCTACATGCTTTCTTCAACATGAATGTGCACATATGGCTAAAAGAGAACCTCCTTAGCAGCAAGACCACTACTACAGGTATTACTTGGCCTGCTTTCTTCGCTATTACGGCTTGGTGTCTCTAGAAAAACCGCTCTACAGTCTGCTTCAAAGGTTTGGCAGCGGCGCTCTCACCCCTTTCTCTTGAGAACTCCATTGTTGCTCGTGCCAAGCTTTGGAGTGATGCGTGGAAGGCCCCTGATCCTCTCCCCAGCATACGAAATCAGCCGCCCCAGCGGATTTTGGCGCAGATTGGGTGGAAGCCACCGCCCGAAGGATGGATGAAGCTTAATGTTGATGGAGCGTCAAATGGCAACCCGGGACCGGCCGGTGCTGGAGGAGCTCTCCGGGACTCGTCAGGTAATTGGATCACTAGGTTTGTGGCCAGCATAGGGTCGGCGACGGCCATCCTCTCTGAACTTTGGGCTCTTAATTATGGATTGGATTTAGCTTGGAAATCAGGTTGTAGGGCGCTTCGGGTCGAGACGGACTCGGAGCTTGCCACGCAGCTGATAAGCTCTAGAAGTGATCCGGTACACCCTCATGCGACACTCCTCTCAGTCATTCGCAGGAAGTTGAGTCAGGAGTGGCTGGTGAGTATTGCTCATGTTTACCAGGAAGGGAATAGAGTCGCGGACTGGCTCTCGAAGCACAGTCTCGTCTATCCCTACGGTGTCCATGAGCTTGCGAACCCGCCACCAGGCCTATCTATGATTATTGCCGATGATATGATGGGGGTAACTTTGCCTCGGCAAATTGTAGCTCCCTCTCACTCTCCTTCCTCTTCCTCTTCCTCGCTTCCCCTGTAACTCTCTCTTTGTTCTTGGCCTCGGCCTCCCCTTAATGCAAAAACAAAAAATTATCCAGCAAATTGACGCATCAAAGTTTGGTCCACCGACAAAAGATGGACTTAAATGCACCCTAACTATCATCCCCTTAATGCGCGTAATTGATCCTTCGGAATCAAAGAACACTTTAAAAGATCCATTGTGGAAGCTGGAAGCTAATTGTTGCCCCCAGTAGAGGTTTTGGGATCATATTTTTTTTTTTATGATGAGGTTTTGGCATCATTTTATTCAGTTTGTTTTAGTGAACTGAAGAGTTGATAGTATTTCACTACAAATTGTAACCTGGAAATCTTTATTTTATCGAATTATTTAGGGTTAATACCCTAGTTTGGCTCGAAGTTTGGCGTAAGTGACAGTTCTAGCTCAATTTTTCAAATAAGACATTTGTGGCCTACTTTTAAAACTATTGGACACATTTGGCCCAAAATTTTCTTTGACCGTTAATATTGACGGTCAAACA